TGAAATGATACAGAATAGAATGAATGTAAAACTAATGTTCCCCCATGTAAACTATCACTCAATACACACACAAAAAAAGAGGCAGCACAAGTACAGAGTACAGGCCATGAAACAGGAAGAAACTGCTCAGAGCAGCTCATGAAAAGACAGTAGATGTAAGACAATTAGGCTTTTTGGATGCTGCTGCCCACCCCAGGTGCCAAGTGGCCACCTAGGAAGCTGGTACTAGACCCCAACTTGGAACCAGAGGTAAAGACACTGAGAGTGAGTTAAGGGTAAAATCAGCCTTCACAGTTGGCTGTTTACTGGACGCACAAACTGCAGCAACCACCCCAAGGGAAAGTAAAGGACCAGGCTAAGCAAAAGGTTTCCAAAGGAATCTCCAGAAAGGGTGAAGGTCACCAAACATCCATGAGGAGACACTGGAGGGGAATCTTTGTATGCTACGTAAGAGTTGGTCCCTGATGTGAACACAGGGTTCCATCCCTGGAGACCTAATTAAGAAAGAGATTTGGGGAAGGGTCTGATGTGGCCACAGGTTCAACCGAAATACACTTGTCTTTCAGGAACCAAGTAGAAGGGAGTCAGAAAAGTGCCTCTTGTAGAGTAAGTAACACTTTAGTAAAAACTGGGGTTTCTTTCTTGATCCTTATAATTTCCCAATGTTTGCCTGGTTTGTTAACTCCTGCTCACTCCTATCTCTTTCCACGTAGTGACTTAGTACAAAATATACTAATGAAAAAGAGCTAATATGCACCTGCTGCAGAGCTTTAATTCCCCATTTGTAAAGCAGGGTGGTTGGACTGCATTGTGGCCTCTGAGGAGTGTGTTAGTGTCTTTGTCATTCGTAGTGAAGGGGTGCGGTCTAAGCGCCACCCGATTCAGATGTATCAGACTTGATCAAAGACATAGGGGTTCCCCTTTCTAGTCAGAGTTTGAATGGTGGCAGCAGATATGTAATCCTGTAAGAATTTTAAGAAGGTGAACTGTCCTGGTCTGCAGAATGGACACAAAGGTACAGTCACATGGGTTCCTACATGGGTCCCCAATAAGTCATCTTAGGTTATAAGAAGAACATGATTGTATGCAGGAGGGACCAAACCAAGCAGTTTAATGGACAAACAAGCCTGGAATTTTCTGCAGGAGGAAAGGCAACACCTTCAACACATATGCAAATCCAACCTTTTTCCGTTGTAGCTTTTGCTTTTCCCTGAATTCTTCCATTTTTCTGGCCTCTTCTCTTAGAGTCTGTGCAAGCTGAATGTGACATTGTGCCACATTGTCTACTTCTGAAAAAGAGAAATTTAAAAATATAGTAAGGTCTATTTTGTTGTTGTGAAGTGCCATCATGTCGGTTCCGACCCATAGCGAACCTGTATAGGGTTTCCCAGGTCTATAGACACCTGAATTTAAATATGCAAAACTGTTCTAAAATACTGGAGCAAATGGTAAAATTAACATCACTTCATTCAATCACCGTTATTTCCTTGGTCCTTCTGTGTACCTGCATTGCCTTGGCCATCAAGAACAGCACAGGAAAATCTTTAGCTTTGCCTACCAGTCACCAGCTCACACTGTCCAGACACCTCTGCTACTCCTTCCCTCATATAACAATACATGCTCATGTTGTTGTTGTGAAGTGCCTTTGAGTAGGTTCCAACTGATAGCAATCCTGTATAGGGTTTCCGAGGAGCGGCTGTTGAGTTTGAACTGCATATCTTGTAGTTCAAACCAAACTTGATGTTGTAGGCTTACTTATCCTATGGTGCTCATGTTGTTGTTGTTGTTATGTGCCATGGAGTTGGTTCTGACTCATAGCGACCCTGTACAGGGTTTCCGAGGCTGTAAATCTTTACAGGAGCAGAAAACCTCATCTTTCTCCTGTGGAACAGCTGGTAGTTTCAAACTGCTGACCTTTAGGTTCACAGCCTGATTTGTAACCACTACGCTACCAGAGCTCTTTAGATGGAGAGAAAAACAGTCAAGGCCCCCATGCTCCTGGAGTTTACTGTATCTTATACAAATTATGTGTGTGTTATCTGGTTTTTGGAAACTGTGCAACCCCCTCACTTTTCCTGTGTGCATCATGTGCATGTGCACGTTATTTGTGTGGGGCACTTTATATGGAAAAATATAGTAAATCCTATTGTTGCTATGTGCCATCGAGTTGGTTCCAACTCATAGCAACCCCATATAGGGTTTCTGAGGAGTGGCTGGTGAGTTTGAACCACCAATCTTGCAGTTCAAACCGACCTAGCAGTCCAGTACTTATACTACAGTACCACAACAGTAGTAGTAAACCTGTTGCAATTTCAAACTGGATCCTTGATTCTTATTAGAGGACCTCTAAGGTCCTTTCTCAAGGAGCCCTCATAGTACTATGAGTTAGGCATTGAACTGTTAACTGCAAGGTCAGTGGTTCAAAGCTACCAGCTGAAAGATAGGAGAAAATTGAGGTTGTCTGTTCCCTTCAAGATTTACAGTCTCTGAAAGCTTCTATAGTGTGGCTCTGAGTCAGAATCGGCTTCATGGCAGTGGGGAAGGTCCCTTTCTTCTCTAACAGCTTGACAGTTTGTAAAGACATTCATCGGAAGCTCTCAACAGTTATCTATGGGTAGAAAGATTATTGATTTTGTGATTTTTTTTTTGCCTCTTATTTTCTAAGATTTTACAATGATCATGGCTTACCTTTGTATTAGAAAGAACAAACTTCATATTTTACTTGTTCTTAATAAACCTGAAGTATATCGTTGAATTTAGAAAGACTAACAAATTGGACCTAAGAAAAACCCTTAAACTGGTTTGTGTCTAAGTGACCTTGAACAAGGTCAGAAGATACACAACAAACTGGAAAAATATGTATATTACAAAGGGTAAACAACTATATATTTTTAAAAAACTTTCATGAATCAAAAGAGAAAAAAGTATATTCCTATATGAAAAAAAAATGATTAAAGAATATGAAAGTCACAAAAGATTGGCTACAAATGGCCAGTAAACATTTGAAAATATACTAAGTTTTATAAGTATTGAAAGAAATATAAAATTTTTAAACTCAGAAATATATTTTACCTTTCGGTTTTGAAAAAATTACAAAGCATGGTAATTCTTGGTATTGACCAGGGTGGAAAAAAATGACACTGTTGGTGAGAAAAAACTCAAAACAATCTTTCTGAAGGTTATTTGGCAACATGAATGAAAAATTTTAAGCGTAAAAGAATGAGGCGGACTCATAAGACCTGAAATAGAAAGATATCTGTGATAGATTATTAAGTAAAATATCCAATTATAGAGCAATATGTATAGTCTGAGCTCATTTATATAAAAACTTTTCATGTCTCTGTGAGTATGTGTGTCTGTGCAACAGAGATAGAGAGGTAGAGAAAGTTGTAAATGCATAAAAAAGGTCTGGAAAGATATACATGAAACTTCTACTAGAGGCTACCATTCTGAATGAAAGGGGAATTAAGGTTGGAGTGAAATGAGACTTAGACTTTTATTCTAAACACTTAGAATTGTTTTTGCTATTTGGTAATAGAAATCATCAATTACTAATTTAAAAATTATTTTTAAAATATGCTCTGACCCACGCCCACAAATTCTGAGCTACTGACACGGAATAAACAAATCTTTATATTATATATCCTTGGTGGTACAGTGGGTTAGGCAAGGAGTTGCTAACAACAAGGTCTACAGTTCAAAACCACCAGTCGCTCTGAGAAAAAGATGAGGCTGTCTGGTCCTGTGAACATTTATTCTCAGAAAGCCTCGGGAGCAGCTCTACTCTCTTATAGGGTCGTTATGAGCTGGAAGAGACTTGATGCCACTGGGTTGCTCTCTAGATATTTATACATATATAAGTTTAGTGCATAGAAAAATTCTGACAGCATATTTACCAATAACAGTGTTTATTTCAAAGAAGTGAAAATTCAGGTGTTTACTACCCTATTTACAATTATTTGTCTCATTTGAATCTTTAAGATAAACATGAATTATTTTAGGATGAGAAAATTAAGCTCTTTTTGGAGGGGACAAAAAGTAAGAAAGTAAAGTAGCAGGAAATGCTTTCTTTGTCGGTTTTTTTTTTAGGAGACACAGCATATGTTAACGTTTTCGTGGGCCACACTATGTTTGGCCTTGCTGTGCAGACAAGGACAATGAAAGGTAAGAGAAGATAGTCTCACCCTGAGAAATGTACTCATTGATAAATTCTATGGAAAAGATAAGATGCATATTTATTTCAATTACCATTTACAAAAGTCTAGAACTATTCTGACTAGCTATAGAAGCATTTTAAGCATACGTCTTAGATAGTAAACTCTATAAATCCTTAATATGAAGGATCCAGTATTCTGGAGAACAGAACGCCTTAGAAGCAGTTTCTGAGTAATGCTGTTGTTGTTAAGTGTCTTCTAGTCGGTTCTGACTCATAGCAACCCTCTATAGGGTTTCTGAGGAGCGGCTGGTGAGTTCCAACCACTGACCTTGAGGTTCATACCAACCTTGTGGTCTAGTGCTTATCCTACAGCACTACACCAGGACTCCTCTTAGCAATGGTGGTGTTGGTGGTTATGTGCCACGGAGCCGGTTCCTATCCATAGGAAACCCTGTATAGGGTTTCCAGGGCTGCAAATCTTTACGGGGGCAGAAAGCCTCATCTTTCTCCCATGGAGCAGCTGGTAGTTTTGAACTGCTGACCTTGAGGTTAGCAGTCTGACTCATAACCACTATGCTACCAGAGCTCCTTCCTCTGAATAATAGGCCTAGGAACTATTAAAATTGGACAAGAACCTTTGAAGACCAAAGTTCTGAGGAGGTTGGTTCAGTGCCAGGGCCTCACCCCTGATTTCCAAGCTCCCCATTACAATATTAGAATAATAAAAACTAGATTAAAATCTGATGGCTAAATTCCAAGTTGCATGTCTGACCAAAGACTACAATCAGAAGCAGAAGTAACTAAGAAATTAAGGAAGAATTGATGATTTGTGTCTTCCATTGGATGCCCAGATAGGATACCAAATAAATAATTCACCACCCAACAAAAACAGAGGGCTTACTTTAGAAAGAAATTAGTTCCTTATTCTCAAAATGAGGTAGAGAAGTAGACGCTTTACCCCAGTAGAGTTGGACCATGACAATTTTATTTGACACTGGTATTTCCAAAGACTTTCCATTCTCTTTTTGAATCAGCTTTGACTATTCTCAAGCAGTATGATAAACCAGTATACCCCATTCAAAATAATAAAATAAGTTGAAAACATAGAGGAAATATTTCTCATTGTAGTATCCTCTTAAATTTGCCAAAGGAAAAGAATGAGGAAGGGAACCCAGTTATTTCTAGGTTGCAATATCCTGCCTTTGGGGAGAAAATAATAAATTCAGAATTTCTAAGAAGACAAAAGAATGTGGTTCAACTATCTTGCTGTTGTTGTTAATTTAAATGTAAACTTCCTTAGGCAATCAGTCAAATACCATGAGTTCCATTTCAAGCATCTGTTAACTCAACAAGAAATGTTAAGTAGGCACCCAGATGTGAAGTCTGGTATTTAGAGACTTCTGGACTTAAGATATCTCTCAGTACAGTATCTGTATAATGGAGACAGCTGATGTCACGAGCAAGGATGAGTCCCTGAGGGCCTGTAACACTGAACTGCAGCACTGAGGTAATGAAGTCTCTGAAGCAGTAAAGATAGTGTCAAATTACCCAGTAAGTGTACTTACTCATCTGTACTGATCAATTGCACATTTCCCCACCACATCAAAGATTCTTCTTCTGGGGATGGCTGGCATCTGTCTCTCTCTCCCAACCCCACAACATCTCGTACAGAATCAAAGCCTCTTTTTACATTTACAACCCCAGGTAGGAATAGAGTACCCAGTAAGCAAGGACTTATTGTTGTTAAGTGCTGTCCAGTCAGTTCCAATCCATAGTGACCCTGTATAGGGTTTCCAAGGAGTGGCTGGTGAGTTTGAACCACCAACCTATTACTTGTACTTATTTATTAATCCGTAGTGAATAATTTCACATGAGTTTCACCACATCACAAATAAGCCTGTGCTTACCTTGCTTACCGGGTAATCTGCCCCTAAACAAAGACAACCCTGTAAAGGAACTGTTCTTTAAGTGTGGTTCCTGGACCAGTGGAATCA